TCTCTCTCTCTCTCTCTCTCTCTCTCTCTCTCTCTCTCTCTCTCTCTCTGTGTGTGTGTGTGTGTGTGTGTGTCTAGTGTGCACATGTAAATGCTTGTGGAGACCAGAAGAGGGCATTGGATCCCCTGGAGCCGGAGTTACAGGTGATTGTGAGCCATCAGACGTGGGTGCTGGAACTAGACTCAGGTCCTCTGAAGGAGCACCACATGCCCTTTCTCTTTGAGCTGTCTCTCCAGCCCACTGGACTTCCATGGTAACACCTCAGTTCTAAACCCAGCCTGGGAGTTCCAGCCAGTGCACTGGCCCAGGACCGGAGTCTGGTTGGGAAAACTCAATACACTAGAGCCAGGGGGCATTGAACCCATGGCCAGCTGGATCCTGAGAGTTCAGAGCCTGTGTGCTACTGCGGGGCTGAGGGTAGGCAGCCAAAACAGCTACAGGTCAGTGGGTGGGATTCCGCGGACGGGAAAAGCAGCTGGAGTCTCACCAAGTGGAGACGCCCATGGTGCCAGCATTCGCAGTGGTCTTCGGGAACACAACCGCTGGTCCGGCTGCGGAAGTGCCCGGGCTGACACACACAGCCTGGAGCCCGTGCCTCGGGGCAGCTGTTCCACGCCAGTGTCGTGTTCATTTCCGGGCATGTCTTTTCGCAAGGCCCTGGCTCCCCTGGGGCCACATGCTGCCATATTTCCCCGGGAGGGCACCCTGCAGGAAGACCGTCGGCCCACTGTCTTTGTCCGCTCTGGATCCAGCACAGATTGCCCACCCCGCCAGACCCCTCAGGCACTTTACCCGTCCCCTTCCTGCGCTGCCTCCTGGCTCCAGCGGCCATCCGCCAGCTATGCCTCTCCCTCTGATCCATTCCTCCAACACTGGCCCAGACAGCTCTCACCCTATAACCAATCCTGTCTACCTTACCTCTGCATTTCCAGTACCCCATCACATCCTAAGGGCGTTGCCTGCTTGCCAGAAACTCGGAGACAGTCTCCTGCTTTTATTTGTTCTGAGGGCTGGCCCACCTTCGTCCAGCACCTAGGCTGGGGTGTTTTGGAACTTGCCAGGCCTGCGTCTGAATCCACAGATCCCAGTGTGTCAAAGGTGGGCAACTTAAGAGTCTGGGGTTTCCCAAGCCAGACTCCAGTTTTCCTCTCACCCCTCTGGACCTCAACTTCTTCATCAGCAGGAAGGAAGCACCCTCTCACTCCCTGGCCTCACTCATGTAGCCTGGCTCAGTGCATGCATACTACATTGGCGAATACTTTCCACTATGAGTGGAAAAGACCCACGGGGTGCTTGGGGTGCGGAGTGGGGAGTGCTGGGCCTCAGGGCAGGGAGGTGGTCCAGGGGGACAAGAAGCAAGCAGCTTAGCCTGGGTGGTAGGCAGGGCCCTCTTTCCCTGAGCCGAGTCTTGGCTTTGGAGGGACAAGGACGGCCATGTCTCACCCTGACAGTCGGTGAGGGAGCAGGTGAAGGCTCCACCTTGACAGGCGCTAGGAAGACAGAAGCAACTGCTCAGAGGCCCCCAGCCCTCCTCCCCACCCTAGTCTCAACGACCCTGCCCTCCAGTCAGGCTCTGGGCCCTCACCAGTGCGTGCAGTTCCAGGTGAGCACAGTCCCTGGGGGCAGCTCCCGGGCCTGTTCTTCCAGGGGTAGGGTGAGGCCCCAGGGCAAGGAACGCTGGGAGCAGGGGCAGGCAGCCGGGGAAATGCACGTGCCATTGTGCAGCAGCTGAGGTGGACGGGCGCAGTTACACTTGGATCCAACCCCATGACACCCCAGCTGCCTCTCCTCTCCCTGCCCGCCCCCACCCCTGCCTCGAAGCCAGAATCCAGTGGCCTGACTCACCTGCCCCCCAGGGCAGCTACAGCCAAGCTGGCAGGCTTCCTGCACACAGATGGTGCCAGGCTGCAAGTGGGAGCAGAGTCTGGGGCACGAAGTGGCACACGTACTGAGCACCTGCCCAGGTGGACACTCTGGGAAACACACACAGTGAGGCGACACTCGTGTTATAGACAGCCTCTGCTACCCACTGCATGGGCCAGCAGAGATGGAGGGCTGTGCAGCTCCAGGCCCAGGGTACTCACCAGGGCAGCTCTGCAGGTTACACTCTTGCCACTGCTGTGTGTCCAGGGCCCGGCACGGTGCGCCCTCAGGACGCTCCTCACAACTCCTGTGGCGCACCATGGTGCCCCCACCACAGACAGCTGAGCACTCGCTCCAGGATGACCAAGGTCCTAGGACTGGGCACTCGAGGGGTGGACACACCAGGGACCCATTGAGGCACGTGCTGTGGACAGGGTGCACACCAAGAACTCAGGCCCCAAGTCATGACAAACAGCTTTCACCTCCCAGCAGTGCCCAGAGCCTGGACATGCCTCATGTCACCCACCCAAAGCCCTTGGCCTGGTTTGGCAGAAGGGCAGCATACCAGGTATGGCAGTCCAGCTGGACCACCTGTGTGGGGACCAGCTCCCATGAACCATTGGCACTGGGCAGGCCACAGTGGCAAGAGGAGATGGGCACACAGTGTCCGTCCTGCACCAGCTGACCAGGAGGACATCGGCAGCCTGAGAGGGGCAAGCAAGATTCAGTGCTTTTAAAAGACTTGAAGCAGAAGGGTGACTTACTGTTAGGGAGGAGGAAGGATGGGAAGAGGGAGAAATGATGAAAGTATAATATACACGTACGAACATGTGACCCATTGTCTGTACAGCTGATACTTGCTAATAAAAGGGTTATACAATTCTGTCCTTAGGACAAGGTTTACATAATGGGTCCCTCCAGCAGCCAGACTGTGCTCAAAGCCCAGTCTCACCCTCTGGCCATGCATGGGAGACATCCCTAGGCTCCTCTACACAGTAGTTTGTTTTGAGATAGGGTCTTGCTGTGTAACCTAGGCTGTCCTTGAACTTGCAATGTATCCCAGGCTAGCCCTGAACTCATGGCAATCTCATGCCTCAGGCTCTCAAATGCTGGGGTTTACCGATGGATGCCACCACAGCTGGCAACCCAGCAGGTTTTGATAGAGCCACTAGGAGGGACTCAAAGTGGTTGCTGAAAGTGACTCCAACAATGTACTTTCTTGCCCTGTCATGATCAGTAGTCTGACCCTTCCCCTACTCTACCCCTGCATCTGTAGTGAAGAGGGCCTAGGCAACCCAGATTCCCCAGGTCAGGCTGTTGTGTGGCCAGATACCTGGGCTGCAGGGTCCCTGCAGACACTGAACACCATCCCAGAGGTCAGCACAGCTTCGAGGGCATTGGTTGGCACAGTCAAGGGTAAACACGGTGTCCCGGGTCTCACAGCTCTCCCCTGGGGTCCAGAAGTAAATGTCTGTATTGGAGTCATTCTTGCCCACCCCACCCCGCAGCAGATGCTCTTTTCCACTATTGACCACCAGGGTCCCAGTCTGCCCCCTTGGGATGCTGGGATACTGGTTACCTGGGCAAGATCCCATATTGCAGCTTTGTGTCTGAGCCCATGGTCCACGGCAGTCTCCTCCAGAGGTATGTCTTGCCTTTCTCCAGCGCAGCTTGAATCCCCCACTGCAGGGCAATTGGCAGGGGCTCCAAGGTCCCCAAGGACCCCATTGGCATGTGTCTCAGGAAGGAAAAATAAAAACAGAACTCAGTGACTTGGGCCACCTGCCTCAGGCATCCACCCCAGGCCTCGTCTCCTCCCCACCTGGAAACATGCCCTGAGGCCCTTCGGGTTCCTTTTTTCTTTCCTAACTGCTACTGGGATTCTACCACATCTCTAATCCAGAGGCAAGCAGAAGGCTTAGCAGGTTGCCTCACTCCTGACAACAGGAATGAACCTATGGCTAGCCCCATCTGGACAGCGGCCTGCTGCTAGCATGGCAGACACATCCTGCCTGCTGGCCAGTGGCCCTCTTTACCATTGCAGGCTCCAGGGTCAGGGCAGAGGCGTTGTTGGCTGAGGGGCACAGTACAGAGTGCAGGGTCTCCTGCCCAGGGCCTCCCCGTCTCAGGGTCCAAGCAGAGACGGTACCGGTACTGCTCTGAGGCTAACAGAGCGACTGAGGTCACAGGCAGGCCTGATGTGGTCAGAGGCCAGTGCCCCTCCAGGGCAGTCTTGGAGGCAGCGGCCAGGGCACTTGGGGGCAGGCAGGGCCCACAAGGTGACCACTCCGACCATCCAGTCAGAGGCAGAAGACCTAGAAAGGCAAAGGGTTTGTGCTGGTCTCGGGGACTTTTCAAACCCGAGAACCCAAATGGCAGGCAGGAAGAGCTCGGGGTCATGACCAGAAGGGACAGTAAATAGGAAAGACCGAGAAAGGTGTCGGCAGGGCAGGATACTATTTGTCTAGGACTGTCCTGGCTTTAGCAATGCAAGCTCCATGTCCTGAAGCACTCCAGGGCTCACAGGACAGTTCTCCCAAGGCCATGATTACCTTCACACCCTTGGCTGGAACACTGCAGCTCTCCACTCTGGCATTCACTGTGGGAGAAGCACATCAGGGTGGGCGTTGGGGGGGGGGGGTAGGAATCTGCTGAGCCACGTATGGCTCATCAGCCCAAGAGCTAAGTGCTCTGGGGCAAGATGAGCGAGCTGTAAAGTTAGGCACCTCGGGGTCACTTGACCTCAGGTTGGAATGGTCCAAACAGGCTCAGCGTGGCCTCTGCTGAGTCAGGATGCCCTTGCCCACTCCACTTCTGACTTCTGGGCCCCCTTCTCCTAATACTCACCATTCCTTACAGCCTAGCTGCAGGCGGTCCCCAGGGGCCAGGGTCACCCTAGCTCCCTCTCCGGAGGTATACCAGCAGTTGCACTGTTCTGGGAGAATGCAGTTGCCAGCCTGCTCCAGCAGGCCCTGTACAGAAGGAAAGTGAGGAGAGTTTGGGACTGTGGAGGGACCATGTTGTCTATGGGCCTCACACCATGGTGGTTTCCAGCAGTACACGTGTGTGTTGCTGAGCCCGTGTGTGGGATGGTGACGAAGTAGAGTTCCCAGCACGGAAGTGATGTGGTCCCTCTGGGCATGCTGGAGAGGGGATCCAGGGGAGTTGGGCAGAGCATCCCCTTCTTGAGCGTCTCCCCAACTTCCAGAGCTCACCTTGGGACAGTAGCAGCCAGGCTGGCAAGGCGGCAAGTCCTGGCAGAGCTGATGGCTCAGATGTGTGGCACAGAGCCCCGCACAGGGGGAGCCACACGACCGGAACTCGAAGGGGGGTGGGCAGCTGTCCTCTGAGGGGAGAAGGAAGAATGCCGGTTGAGGAACAGCCCGCAGACACCATCTCACCACAAAACGAAGTGCATGGTCCACAGTGCCAGTGACACCTTTAAGAGGTCACTTGGGGATAGCACAAGACTGCCCTGCTGCTGCCTGCCAAGGAAGACTAGCTCCCCCAAACCTTCCACCTGGCTCCTGCTCAGCTCCTGTGCCCCCAGGAAGGACTAGGATGGCTCAAGATCCAAGAAGCTGGATGGAGGACGGACTGTGGGAGTCAGAATTATGGTGGGTGCTCTAGGGATTGGCAGGTGGGGCACAAAGGGACAAGATGAGGGGCAGCTTCAATAGAAGCTAGGCAAGATACCCCGCAGCTACAAGAGGATAAAAATGGGCAAGGGTCAGTGCAAACCCTGGGCGCTTGCACTGTGGTCCTGTGGGCAGTGGGTATACATGAGGGTGCCCAATTCTACCCCCACTCTGCTCCTTGACCTTTCATCCCTGGGCCTTACCTGAGCAGTTGCCAATGGTGCATGGCCGGAAGTGGCCGTCCAGACGTGTGCAAGGAGCGCCCCCCTCAGCCCGGCCAGGTGCTGGCCCCTGGTGTCGGTAACGCTGCTGCACCAGGACCTTACAGGAGCAGCGTGTCCAGCTGCTCCAGTCACTCCATATGCAGTCCTCTAGAGACGGGCAGGGATGTAGGCTGGCGGCTCCCATAGCATCCCCTGTGCCCACACCCATCCCTGCCCTAGCCGGAAAAGGGCAAGAGAGAGCCATGGGTTCCGAAAGGCCCCACTGGGTGGATTCCCTCAAAGTAGGCAAAGAGAGCATATGGCAAAGGCTCTGAGGGGCACAAAGCAAGGTGTGGTGGGGTAGATGTAGGGACATTTCATAGAGAGAGCCTTGCACAGGCAAACACTTATTCCCTGTATTTGCAAGGAAGGAAAGCAGGCGAGCAACTCACCCTGGCAAGGCCCTGGGTAGCAGGCCTGAGTGTCCACGTGTGAGAACGTGTCATTACACATGGAGTCCTCTTTGGCCAGTAGGCAGGGGCAGAATCCAGAGCGGGAGGCTAGGCCTGTGCCACAGCTGCGGGAACAGGGTCCCCACGGTCCCCAGGAGCAGGTCTCTGGCAGCTGCAGGCACTGCGGCTGCCCACAAGGCTGGGTCTGGGTGTCTGGGCCCTGGCAAAGTCGGCTCCCAGGCTGAGGAGCTGACACCATGCAGGATCGAGTGCGAGCCCAGCTTCCACCTCCACAGTAGACAGAGCAGTGGGACCAGGAGGACCACAACGTCCAGCCCCCAGGCACTGTCGGAGGGTACAGGTGAGGTTAGAGCAGCAATCGGGGGATGGCGAAGACCCAGAGGTGAGGCTGGGATCCTCGTGGCACCAAGGGTGGCATTGTGTGCGTGTGTGTGATGGGGAACACAGGATACAGAAGAGATGGCCTGCAAGACATAGGCCAGTAAGGGGGTGCTGAGGGGAGGGTGGAGCCAGTAAGGGGGTGCTGAGGGGAGGGTGGAGCCAGTAAGGGGGTGCTGAGGGGAGGGTGGAGCCCAAACCTGCACACTCAGTGTCTTTGCAGATCACTCCCTCTGGGGTGCAGGAACTGGAAAAGAGGCTGGATTCAGGGCCCTGCTATGCAGCAGGGCGGTGGGGCACCCCTCCTGGCCTGCACTCACCACTGCTGGCACTCTCCCTGCAGCCAGCTGTCCCCCAGGGCATGAGGATGGGCTTCATGTAGGCACAGGGGTGGGCAGGGGGCCTCGGGGCAAGGCCGGCTCTGTGACTGCTCCTTCTGACACTCCAGGGCCCACGAGCCTGATGTGGAGGACCTGGGCAGGGTCGGGGCAGAGGAGAGACAGACAGTTCATGCCCTATATAATCCTTCAGGCTTCAAGGGGCAAGTCCAGAGAGAGCATGAAGGTGGCGAAGGAAAGGCCCAGGCGACCAGCACACACTGGGCCAGGACACAGGATGGAGCAGTCACTGATGAAAGCGGAAGGTACCCAGGAATTCTGTCAGAGAGAGGGCCAGGCCAGGCAGGAGACCCCAGTCACCCGGCCCCCTACCTAAAGCGACTCTGCCGCCCTTGAGGTCCACATGAGTGACTGCAGGGACTCCAGGCCGACCAGCGGCTCCAGGCACAGTGGGCAGGAGGTGGGCAGGGCTGAGCAGTGCACGAGAGTTGCCCAGCCTGACAGGAACAGTTGTTGCAGGCATCCTGATGCCGGCTCCCTGGGGCCCAGCTGCGGCCCTGGGCATCTGTGCATTCACAGTGCCCAACTGGTACACAGCCACCATCCTGCTCCAGAAACCCTGTGGGAAGAAGTCAGCAGGTTGGTGCTGGTGTCTAGACCACATCTGCTTTACCTCTGAGCTACCCCGAGGAGCCAGACGGATCTCTAGCAGGTACCTTCAGAGCAGCCACAGCCCAGCTGGCAGGCCTGGTCCTCCTGACACATGACTCCCTCCTGCAGGTCTGAGCAGCGGTGGGGGCAGCGGTTGGCACAGCTCACTATCTCCATGCCTGCTGGGCAGCCTTCCTCTAAAGTGGGGGAAGCACGATGTTAAGAACAGTTGGGTACCCCAAGATCCTTCTCTTTCCTACCAGTGACTCCTAGAGGCTCCAGGGTCCATCCTTTCCCCCATATTGGTATGAATTGAAACATCAGGGGCTTGCTTGGCAGAGCCCTGGGGTTAGGTTAGTCTAAGTGCACAGAGAGTTCCTCTCCCCTCCAGTAAGTTCTCAGAACCTGGCTGGTCATCCAATAAGTGTTCATGAAGCTAGATTAATCTATCCATCTCAGAAGCTAACACTCTCACTTAGTGGCTTACAGCCCTGGTCTGAAGTGTGAGGCAGTATGCAGGTGAATGGGAATTTCTTGACAGAGGAGTCCTGGAGTAGCCAAGACCCTTAGGGCTGGGAGCATTTGGAGGAAGAGCTGAAGCTAAGAGAGGAAGGGGGTGGGGGAAGGGCTCAATTACAGTCTCTGGTTCCGTTTACGTCTGGGAGGATCACCTACACCCTTGACATCGCACTGCAAGCTCTCCAGAAACTTTGCCTGGGCTAGATGGTTCTCCAGAAGTTAAGAGGACAGACAGGCTGGGAAGATGTCCCAGGGATGAGCCAGGTAGGTGGCAAATCTTTGAGTTCAGCTTCAGCCACAAAGGACCCAGGTCCACATAGGATGTCCCTGCCCAGTACCCAGCTGCAGCCATCCCTTCCCTGAACATCTTGGTTTTCCTAACTAGCCGGCAAAGTAGCAGCCAGTCTCCTACATCCCATGGGCATGGTGGGAATGAAGTTAGAGACGGGGGTGGAGAGAGCCTTGCGGGATTAAGCTCAGTAGGCAGGAAGTGACTGTCGCCACTGCAGTACCACACGCCATGGGATTGCAGGACCGGATGTGGTGCCTCTCCCCGACACAGGATGCTCCCCCATTCTTGGGTGGTGGGCTTGAGCAGCTTCTGCTCCTCAGGGATCGGCCCCCTCCACAGCTGCGATCACACCAGGACCAGGGACTCCAGCAGGACCAGCCCCCAGGCACTGTTAAGAGAATAGCTCCATCAGGGTTTGGCTCCGGTGGCGGGACTGTGGCATGATCAGGAAATGCAAGGCAGCAGAGCTTCTCTGGGCTAGGGTCAGGGAGGAGCCTGAAGCGACTCTTTGTCTCCAGCTGCCCTCACCTGGACAGGCTCGAAGGTTGCAGAAGCGGCGCTCCTGGTATGCGGTCAGGATGTCAGAGCACCAGTGTCCACCGGGGCCAGGGGGATGGTATGCTCGTAGGCGGCGCTGCTGGCCCACCCCACAGCTGCGGGAGCATGGCTCCCAGGGGGCCCAAGATGTCCAGGAACAGTTCTCTGACCCACACCCAGGGCCAGGGCACAGGGGCAGAGCTGTAGGATGAAAAAGATCTGGAACCAGCAGAACCTGCCCCAGGCTCTCCCTCCTGACCCAGCTCAAGTTCAGACTTCCTCACCTGGGCCTCTGTGACCTCATCCACACCCCCGGGCTCCTGTTCTAGATCTGATACTGCTGGGTGGATGGTTTTGACAACTGAGTCTATGTGCCTTGTTCCCACAGGGGACAGAAATCCCTGACGCATGGGGCTGTTGAGGGATCGGGGAACAACCCCACAGAGAGTGTTTTGCCCCACACATGCATGAGAACCATGGGGCCTGATAGAACTTGGCGGAGCTCAGTAAAGTGAACAGAAGGCCTAGAGTCAGGCACTGGTCTGAGATCAGATTAGATTATTCGATTGGTCTAGGGAAATTGGATACTGAGGTCCAGGTCTGGGTTTGGATGAGCTGGTTGGGCCTCAGAATCATACTTGTACACGAGGGTAGGTTGCATGGACGCTCTTGTAAGGAGTCGCCCATTGTACAGTTGCCCAAGCACAGGCGTGTACGGCTGCGCCATGTTGGGTGAGCAGGGTCCGTGCAGCTGTGGGAACATGGAGACCACAACGACCATGGGCCCCAGCCACCTGTGGGAAGGAGGGGTAGAGGAGAGAGTGGGTGTACTTCCCAAGGAGTCAGCCCCTCCAGGAAGGGTTCCAGCCCCTCCAGGAAGGGTTCCAGCCCCTCCAGGAAGTAGGCATGGGGAGGAAAGAGGCACAGGGCTTGCTCTCCCCAAAGAGAGGCCATACTGGAGGGGTGCTGAGAGACTCGGGGTACCTGCGAGGCTTGTCACTGGCTCCCGCGTGGACCCTGCTGTCCCTGTGAAAGGAGACCCTGTTCAGGAGTGTTTGGGCGCCTGCAATGGGCCCTGCCAGCACCACACACACACACACAGTGCTGAGCATCTTGCAAGATCTCCAGAAGTGCGGGTTGGAGACCTAAACAAGAGTCTCGAGCTATTGGGTAAGAGGAAGGAAAACCCAGAGATTCCAGCAGGGATAAACAGGTACAGAGGAGGGCAAAGGCAGGCTGAGCCGTACTTGGCCGGGCAGGTGTCTGCCTGGCTTTCTTCCGTTTCCCTTACCAGGGCATTCCGGGCTGAAGCAGTACTCTAGGTCCTGAAGGGGCCCGTGGCATCTCAGTCCACCAGGAAGAAGTGTGGGATGCACACATTGGCGGGTGCGGGTGCGAGTACCCAGCCCACCACAGGAGCGGGAGCACGGACTCCACACGCTCCAGGGACCAAAGCTGCCATGGGCCCTGGAGCATTCCTCCATTGAGCAAGACAGCTTCCCGTGAAGACAGGAGCTGGGGAAAGCACAGCATGAGGGGCGGGGCAAGGAGGCCAAGGAGGCACAGGCAGGGCAAGGGAGAGGACAGAGCCCAGGGTCCCCATCCTCACCTCACAGTCCCTCCTTTGGCCTCTCCCCCACCTTCTAGCCCACTCCCCACCTTGGAGGGCCCCTTACCAATTTCCACAGGCTGTTTGAAGCATCTGGCCTGAGTGCAGCTCATCTCCAGGTCCAAGGGGCTGGCTCTCATCTCCCAGAAGGGCTAGGTAGGTTCCGGGGGCAGTGCTGGCCCCCAGCTCCTGCAGCAGCGAGGCTGTCAGCACACAGGGGCATTCCTGGGTGGGTGGACAGAAGGAGACAGTGAACCCTCCCAGGAAGTGCCTACTGGGCACCTGTGTGGAGCCTCTGGTGAGACTTGGGGGGACAGAGGGAATGGGAGCAGGAGGGAAGACCTGGGCCTCAGGAGGCATTTCCCGGCACACATGGGACTGAAAGCCTGTAGGCTGTGAACCTGGGCAGAGAGTCAGCCAGATTTCTGTACAGAAGAGCTGGGGGGACACAAGCAGACATTGGCAGAGACTGCAAGAGGACAGGACTTGGGGAGGCAGAGAGAGTCCTGCCAGGAATCGGAGGAGTCTGGGTGCCTCGGTGTCAGTCCAGGCTGATGATCAATGTCCTCCTGACCTTGGAGGAGCCCCTCCTCCCTCAGGCTTGGTGTCGCCACCTCTTAGTCTTAGGACTAGAGGTGGAGGAAGCCACCAGGCTTAGGAATGGAATCCTGAGCATTTGTTGGGCTCAACAGAGTACATGGATTAACTGCCTGCCATCTGTCCCCACAGCTGGAGACAGGGATATGGGGCCAGGTAGGGTGAAGGTGTGGGGGTCCTTTCCCCACAAGGACAAGGCAGGGAAGAGAGGGGTGATGAAGATTCACAGCCCCTGAGATGGAGGATGGGGCTGCAGGGCCACATGCCATGGGCAGCTACAGGGACTCAACAGGAAACTGCCCTTCCCTGCCAGGAAGACTGAATGCCTCAGCCAGAGGGACACAGAGCAGCATGCCATCACAGTGGCCTCAAAAGTCTTGTAAGTGTCCTTGAGCTGGGAGATCGGCTGGTAATGGACACAAACCCAGGTCCCCAGGAAGCAGATGGCCTCTCGGAAACTAGGGACACCCTGGGAAGCTGCCTCGCCTCCACCTCCCTTTCTGGGCCCCTAATCTGCCACCCTGGATATCAGCAGCAAAGGCCTCTCAGGTGTGAGTGCTACTTAAAGTCACACAAAGGGGACTGTCTAAGAGGTCACCGACTCTGCTCCTTGGGGGCAATGAGCTGCCAGATGCCAGAGACAGAGGGCACAGCCTCAGGCTCCTTCTTACCTGGACACAGGCCAAGTGATGCTGAAAGGTGCCCTCAGGACAGTGGCACCCCTCCTCACAGCTCTCAGAGAAGCAGGCCACCTGTCCCATGATGTGAGCACATGAGAAGGGGCACCCCTCGCCGGGCTGGCATTCACGGTATAGTCGGCCCACTGGGCAGCCTGTCTCTGAGACAGCACTGGAGTCAGTGCCCCGTCACCGCCCTCACTGCCGACCTCTGTGCCCACCTCGTCTGTGGCCTGAAAGTCACAGTGTCCAACCCCTCAACAGTGTCCCTTTCCCAAAGGCTCCCCCATAGTCTGGCTGTCTCCTCCTTTACTGGCTCATCACTAGCAAGGGCAGAGCATGATGGGGACAGAAACGGGGGAGTCTACGGGTACTCAGAGTCAGGGTCAAGGGACCTGACGGGACTCGAGGCTAAGGGGTCATTGGGGAGACGCTGGCCGGGCTCACCTCTGCAGACCTGGACGTGACAAGTTCGGCTTTGTCGAGCCAGCCCAGGGCAGGGGGGTCGGGCACAGTGTCTGGAGCGTAGCTGCTCCCCTCCCCCGCAGGAGACACTGCATCTCTCCCAGGGGCCCCAGGAGCTCCACATGCCAGGTCCAGGGCAGCTGGGCACCTCATGGCATTGCAGGATGCCCGCCACACAGGTGCTGGGTACAGGGAAAGGGGTTTCCGTGGCAGGGCCTGGTCCAACATCTCTGAAGCCACCATGGCCCAGGTCCACAGATCACCCCCAATCTGCTTACCAGTTGTCACAGGGCCCAGCCACCACCTCTCCAGGTGCCAGGCTCTCCCAGGAGCTGAGTGTGGACCCTACTGACCGGCTCTGGTTCTCAGGGATCCCTGAAGGCCACAGGAGTAAGGGTGGGGGCTCTAGACGGCACAGCAGCCTTCACCTCACCCCACACCCTACACTCCTGACTTCTAGCACCCCGCCCCACAGCACCCATGTCCTGGAGGGAGGCGCTGGAAGCTCTCTCTAAATCTGCACTAGTCCAGGATGTGGGAAATGCAGGGCTTCCAGTTCCCACTCTGTAGCCTGGGCCTGGACCCCCCCATGGGTGGTACTGCAGCTCCCCCAGGGGCTGCTGGGGGAAAGGGGAGGGCAAGGGCCGGTGCAGGGGAGGTACCACTGACCCATGGCTCTGGGCTGGAAGTGGCAGGGACAGTCAGCAGGGAGCACACAGAGCCCATCCTGGGAGAGCCGGCCTGGGGGACACCCGCAGCCAGACTGGCAGCCGTCGGCCGTGCCTGGCAGGCATGTACTGCCAAAGGACAGGTCCTGGCAGGAGTGAGGACAGGGCTGCCCACAGGGCAAGAGATCCTGGCCCCCGCCACAGTCTGGGAAGGAAGTGAGAGAGAGTTAGTGTTCAGGCATTATCCCAAAAGGTAAGAGCCTCTTGTGATGCTGACGTTGGCTGTGACCTGACACCTCACCCAGAACCGTGAGACTCTCCCCTGCCTCCCCCCACCCCACCCCCGCCCCAAAGCCTTCACCTGTGCACAGGGCGGAAGTGTCTCCACAAGGGCGACTCTGCTGGTGGCCCCCAGGACAAGGCCTGCCTCCGTCAGAGGTGGGAGGATGGCCGCACACTCGGCTCCGAAGGGACCGCCCCAGGCACGCATCACAGGGAGACCACGGCCCCCAAGGGCCCCATGCTCCATCCACTGCACCAAGGAGACAAAATCATCTGTCTCGGGAGACCCAGGAGGCCTTAGGTCATCAGGGTCAGAACATATATATTTGGGATCTGGAACAGGGGCACAGGCCTCATAGGAATACCACACCTGGGCATGCACTGGGGTTAGGGCAGGCCTCCCTTTGATGCTGCACCCCTGCCTCCCCTGCCTCCTCAGGGCATGGGGTACCCCCATGCTGGGGAGCAGGGCAGACACAGGCCCTGGAGCGGGTCCTTGTTTGGCCCCTGCAGGGCTGGGAGCATGCTGTCCACTCTGACCATGGGCACCAGGCTCCAGGCACTGTGAAGAGTAGGGTAGGTGGGCACTGGATGTAGTTGATGCAATCCTGAGACCGCTCTCCTTGCACCCCAACTCCCCTCCCCGCCCTGTAAGCTAGCACATACCTTGGCAGGGCAGGTCGGTGCAGTTAAGTCTCCCCTCCATGCAGGTGCTGGGCAAGAGCAGAGCCAGGGGAAAGATGGCAGTTCAGAATGGCCTAGGTGCCCCCCCCCAAACTCATCTGCCTGCCTTCCTTCCTCTTCCGCTTCGCACTTTCATGGTGCAGTCTAAGCCCTTCTTCCTACCCTCATATGCTTCAGGAGCCCGCCTGCCCCATCAGCTGCCCTTCTGGGACGGCACAACTGGTGTGCTGCACTGGGGAATGACTGTGGGTAACCTGCAGGTAAGTGAGGGCAGGCAGCAGGAACAAACACTCTATCTGTTCCTTGTCCAGCCCAGCTTCTCTCCTCCCAGCAACACACACTCAGCTCTCAGCAGATACATCGAGTCCGCTGCCTCAGTTTCCCCTCCTGCTGGACAGGTGTCATGGGGCCTGCTCCGCATCTTCTCCAGGACAGGGGGTATCTAGTGTACACGATCTGAGCCCCCAGAACTCAGATGCACAGACATCAGCCACTCTGGCCAACCTGCTGCCTCGTGCCCCAGCAATACAGCACAAGCTCTCACCAGTGGTTACAGCCATCGGGCCTCGGCAGCTGCGTGCCCGGGTGGTGGCGCTTCCCTGTCAGCAGGTCCAGGCAGCTGCAGTGACTGGGCTGCACGCAGATGGCCCCATCAGCACTCAGCACCTTGCCCAGGGGACAATAACAGCCCGGCTGGCAGCGCCACACACAGTGCTGGGGGAGAGGCACGGAGCAAGCAGGGGTTTTAGTCGTTAGGAAACGGCCTGAGGTGGGGAGTTAGGAAGAATCCCAGACCAAGTTGGAAGTACCCAGTGGGTAGGTGTGGGGGTTAATCTTGATTGCTAACTTGATGGGATTTAGAATCACCATGGAAACAAGAAGACACACCCTAAATGTGAGTGGTAGCAGTCCATGGCTGGGGGTCCTGGGCTGAGTAAGGGAGGAGCAGCCTCGTTACTCTGCTTTCTGACTGTGGATGTGATGTGACCAGCTGCCTCGGGCCCTCGCCTCTCTGCCTCCCCCCAAAGCCATGGACCTCTAACCATGAGCCTGAAAAAACCCTTCCTTTCTTAAGTGACATTTGTCGGGAATTTTGTCCCTGCAATGAGTAAGGATCACAGTGAGAAGGAAGGGTGCCCAGAGACAGTAAAGTGTGACTTTACAATTACTTTCTCTTCAAAGAACTGGTAAAGGGCAGGAAGAGAACCCGCAGGCCACTGAGTTCCCTGCCACTGAGAAGGGAGGGAACAGGCTTACAGATGAACCCCTCAGCTCCCAAGGCGTGCATCTGGAAGCTGGGGCCCTGCGAACGTGAAGCCCCAGGTCTTGGGGATTGCAGACTCAGTGTGGGCTTGCACTGATGGTCTGGGAACTGAGGCATGCCCAGACCTCCCTAGTACTCGGGGAGCAGGTGCCTCGGAGAGCTGGCTGGGAAGAGAGGCTGTGCGGGCAAGAGCTGGGGACAGGCCTCGTCCGTGATGACTGCAGTGGCCGTCCCGTTCTAGCGCTCCTTCGTCCTCCTCCCTCAGCTCTCTGGAGCCATCCCTGGCCTCCCGTCCATACATGGCTCTCCTCACTCGGGCCTCAAAGCACCATGTCCGTCTTCAGAGCTCTTAGCATGTCCGTCTTTAACTCTGTCTGTCTTCCCAGAATTTGGGATCATGGATCCAGAGATCTTGTCTGTGTCTGCCTCCATCTGTGTCTACAGTGTCTGCGTAGGTGTTTGGAACACACACACACACACACACACACACACACACACACGCTTTGTACACCAAAATGTTTATGACACTTACGACGATTCGGTGGGCTGACTTCCCTCCCACATGTTTGCGCTGTGTTTGCGGTGGCACTCTAATTTAGAAACATTGGCTGTGTTGATGCCAAGTGCTGCCAGATAAGGCCGCCTCTCTCATCACCAAGAGGGAGCAAGCCTGCATTGTGGTAAACTAAAATCCAGGGCCTCGCCCATCCCTACCAGGCTTTCTGCCCAGCACCAGGCAAAAGGCCATGGGCCCCAAACCATACCCATGCTTCCCACAAGAGGATTCTCTGGTCAGAGCCAAAGGTCACAGAGGGGGTGTCAAGGGGGCCCAGACTCACCACAAGGTCATCACAGGAGCGGGGGCAGGGAGGGCCACAGGGGCTGTACTCTGCCCCTTCAATGGTGCTACAGTTGCTCACTGGAGGACAGGATGGGCTGAGGTTGGTTGGAGCCCTTGGCCTGCCTCCCAAGGCTGCTTCCTAGCTTCTTACTCTTTGCTCCTGGGCCCACCCCACCCTCACCAGGTACCTGGGCATGGTTGAGCCTGGCAGGCCTCCCCCTGGGCCTGAGGTCCTTCACAGAAATCCCCTAGGCCCTGGGGTGGTGGCTGGTCACAGGCTCGGGTTCGGCTCCGCAGGCCTCCTCCACAGCTCCGACTACAGCCAGACCAGGGTCCCCAAGGACTCCAGCTCCCCGCTTCTGAGAGAACAGCAGAGGAAGGAGGGTGAAAGGGTTTTGGGGTGCTGGAGCCAGCTGGTACAAGGATGAGGTACTCCAAAGATGGCTCCACCCAGGGCTTCAGGGCAAGCATCAGCCTAAAGAGTCACTTACGGTCACATCCTGGCAGGAGGCATGGTTCTTCCTCAGCCTCAGAGCCTGGGCAGAGGGTTGTGGGGGCCACTGTGGGCAGGGGAGCTAGGCTGAAGGGTGCCATACTGGAGGGCCTGGCACAGAAGCGGTGCCGGTGGCGTCGGGCAGGACTGCAGGAGGCTGAACACATACTCCATGGGGTCCAGGGTGACCATGCAGGCTGACCTTGGGGTGCATGGGGGAGCAAGAATGGGAGAAGAGAATGAGCCAATGAGGCACCATAACACCTTACGCCTCAGCTCTCCTGGAGCCTGTTTCCTACCCCAGTGCAGGCCCGCGGCTGCTGGGATGAGAAGCAAGGACAGAGGAGTGAGAAGCCTTTCTTACCTTCCTCACAAGGCCAGGAGCTGCAGTTGGTGATGAGCCCGGAGATACAGGAGCTGGAGGGGAAACAGAGGCTTGGGTGCTCCCCAGGCTACAAGGTACCCACAGAGCCTTTGCTCAAACTCTAGCACCCAGGACCTGCAAGTGTGACCTTATTTGGAGATGGGATCCTTCCAGAGGTAACCAAGTCAATAAGGCGGTTGGAGGGGGGCGGGGCCAGTCTGGTGTGACGTGTGTTCTTGTAGGAAAGGGGTATTTGGATGCTGACATACTCAGGGGGAGGATGATGGACAGAGGGAGAAGACAGCCATCGGCACCCTAGAAAGTGTCAGACTAGTGCCAAAAAGGAGAGTTGGGACAAATGCCCCCTCGGTGCCTCAGCGCACCAGGTCTGCCAACCTTGATCTAGGACATGTGTGGCCACTGACGGCTGTTATTCAAGGCCCTTACCTCCAGAACATGTGTGTGTTTGTGTGCATGTGTATGAATGCATATGTATATGTGTGTGCATGTATTTGTGTGATGTGTGTATGTGTGAGTACAGGTACTATATACTTTATTACAACAATCATAAAAATTAACTCAAGTTAGGAAGAAAAAGACAGGTGATTCTTTTCTCTCCATTACTGGAAACTTAATTCAGGGTCTTGCCAGGCAAACCCTCTACCACTGAGTATGACCCCAGCCTCTGAGAGAAGAGAGACAAGGATGGGTGGCTGGGGGGTGGTGGTGGTGGTGCAGACAGGTTTAGATGGCAGGGCTGGCTGGTTGTGGCTGAGGATGGGGAGGGGGTAGGCATCTCTCTGACTAACTGGAGCCAATCTCTCCTACAGCTGAGGAAAGATAGCTGTACAGCTGGGTCCTCAGAACCGGGGGTGGGAGGGACTCACCAGTTCTCACACGGATGAACCACTGCACTGCCCGGGGGATGAAGGCGCCCCCTGTGGGTACAGGGGCAGTCCTGGGCAGGCACACACACATTGTTCTGAAATAGAAAACCCATTGTCATCCTGGCTCCAGCCTGCTCCAGTCACAGCCAGCACTCAATTTCCTAGTCCATCTCAAGGGCCACCCAGAAGCCTTCCACAGGGCTTAACCCCGGACCCTCTCTCAGTGGCAAGAGCAGACCCTTGGCCAAGGGTCACCTGGGAACATGGGCGCTCTCCTTCAGGAAGAAAAAGACCTGCTTCCGTTGCAGGGCTGAATTGTTCGATGAAATCAACTGTGTGCGATACGTCTCTTTCATATGAACCATGTGGTTCATAGAGCAGCATAACACCCTCCAGCCCTGACCCCTCGCCTGGCAACCATTGTCATTAAGGAATGAAGCTGAGTCTCTAGCCAGAACCAGTAGGCAACCTGAGTGTGTCTTCCTTATTCATCCCACTCACCTGACGACCCAGTCTACGACTGAGCACACAGTAGTACTCAGCACATAGCTGGTGATGGATAGACTAGAGGACGTGCATTTGAAGGAGTGACATGTGTGAAACCCCTTTGACTCACCACCACTTCCATAAGCAAGAGAACAGCTATCTAAGGTGTCTTTCGCTCAGCAGTTTCTGTCTCCAGCCCCAAACCTTTGGCGTTGCCCTTGGCCAGGCCCCTGGCTGTCTCTTTCCTGCCAAACCAGGGTCCCAAGCCGTGAGGCAGTCCCAGCTGTGGCCAGGCAGCGGATCTTACCAGCAGGAGCATTCCAGAAAGGCAGTAGCAGCCGGGTTGGCAAGTCTGATTGGCCTCTCTAGGGGTGCTGAGATGGGCACAGGAGGCCGGGCCCTGGGCACAGTCTAGCCATTGCTGGCCCTTGGGACACACGCCTGGCACTGGTCCTGTAGACACACGTGACAAAGGGGTAGCACAGTGCCTACCTACTCAGCTTTCCCCAACGCGGGAGAGGCTGCGGCTGCCATGGAGGCTATACCGTTTTAAAGGACAGGGCTGCGGGGGTAGGGTGTTGCAAGTGTCCTGGCATGGTGGAAATAGAACTACAGTGCCCCCAAGGCATCCCTCACCTGCACAAGGCTGCAGGCTGCAGGTAGAGAACTCAATGGGGCTGTGTGGGCCACTGCCTTGAGTGCGGTTTCTGTAGCCACCACCACAGGGCACCGAGCATGGAGTCCAGGCACCCCACTCTGCACCAGGACCTGTGGGTAGCATCCAGGCCACTAAAGATCTCACATCCCATACCCAGCACCTCTTTCCCCAATCCAGGTATCCAAAACCACCCCTTCCTTCTCATGCTATCTCTCTTCGCCTGCAGAATTATCTCCAGCTTAGGAGATGTGGTGCCTTCAGAGAAGGAAGCGGGCTGGCCTTTAGGGAGGGTCTCTCTTGGGGAACAGACTAGTAAGGCCTCTGGGGACCATCTCTTAGTGGCATCCCTTAGGGAAGTCCCTTATGTCTCTCACGGGGTCCTGGGGGCAGTATCTTGGATTCTCTCTAGAAGGTTCTTTAAGGAGCTCTCTGGCCCTAGGTTCCCACTCTTACCTCGGCATGGCCTCAGACTGCAGAATTCAGCATCTATGTTGGGACCTTGGCACTCGGCACCCCCAAAGGCAGCTGGTGGTGCCGTGCCTGCTCTGAAGCGCCGTCGAATGCCCACGTTACAGCTTTGGCTGCAGGGACTCCATGGAGTCCAGGGGCTCCAGCCACAGGCAACTGCCAGGGTGAGGGAGGGCAGATGTCTGAAACCAGGCCAAGTTGTCCTGGACCCTGACTCTCTTGGGACACCACCAACCCTCCCAGGAGGCTATCTCAGGAGGGGCCGAGGTCTCCCATAGTCTCTGAGCACCAACCACCACATGGAGGGAGTACCTGGGCAGAGTTCTGAGGTACACACCATTTCTCCAGAGACACAGGTGCTGCCAAGAGAGGGTGCAGTGAGCCCCAGTCCAGTCACCCTGCCCTCGCCACTGAAGCACTGGACACCTGCCTCAAAGGACAGGGAGCCAAGACACCAAACACACAACGTGACGTGTGGGGTGTGACTTGGACTTTCACCCTCGTACCTCCTTCCCAAATCCACCTTCATCGGGCCCCTTGATCCCTTGACACACAATTTCATCAAGAGTGCCTTTTTATACTTTTTATTTCATGTGCACTTATTAAACAACATCTGTGCATGACTTTAAGTGACAGGGCTAGGCAGGGGCAATTTAGAAAAAGCTAGAATTCTAGAGGAAGTGGTTATATTTTGCGCCCTTCCATTTTTCTCCAGTACGTGCTCATTGGTCAAAACACAAAATAATCTAGCAGAGAAAGGGAGGAGACAGTAAAGAAGGGAACTGGGGGAGGTACCAGGAGATAAAAAGGAAGAGGAGAATGAAGAATGAAGAAATCCAAGGAAAGGGAAGGGAGTGGGTGGGTGGAGGGGCGGAGAGGAATGTTAGAGCGCCCTCTGCTGACAAAACCTCGTGTTAGCTTTGAGAACTGGATACTTCAAAAGAGCAGAACCCAAGGGATCCCGTGTGTAGAGAATTACATTCAGGAAGGAGAAAACTCCTTCCAGAGTTGAGGAGCTATGATAACTGATGGGTTCTGGGAGAAGGAAAGTCCATTTTCTTTAAGGACACAGCCCCTGCTGGCTGGACCATTCTCCAGCGGACGGTCCCATACCCATGAGCATCCAGACAACAAGAACAACATCAAGTTGGAAGGGGCTGGGGTGGATCCGGAAGGAGTTAGAGGGAGGAGTGAGGATGAGTAGCATCAAAACATATTATGTGCATGCAGGAATTGGTCAAAGGATGAAAAATATTTTTAAAAAGAAGCCTCTCTCCAGCCTATAGTTCCATTCTGTATAGCACCCCCACCTATCTGAAACCCAGGCTTCCCACAGTCAGATGGGGTGAATATTTCTTGCAGACACCTGTGTTGTAGCCAGGCAATGATTCACTCACTGCAGTCTTCTCAGGAGCCATGCCTGGTGCGTGTGTCAGCATATTCAGCCCCCTACCCTCTGCGCCCCCCCCACACCGATGACTGAATATGTGTGAGTCCACTCGTGTCCCACTCAGAGCATGGTCCCTCCCTCTGTCCCCATCCTCACTGGCAGCCTACCAGTTGTTGCAGTCCAGGCGAGCTGCTGCTCCCGGTGCATAGAGCTGCCCGTGCAGCTGACAGGGGCACTGGCTGCGGGGCAGGCAGCTGGCATTATGCAGGAAGAGGCCAGGGGGGCAGGTGCAGCTGGGGGCACAGGAGCCAGTGCACTCTACCCCAGGGTCCTGTGCCAGGCACAGCTGAGGGCACGGACCCCCCTCCTCCTGACACTGCTCTGCTGAGCGGAACACCATGTTCCCTGGGCACTGGTCTAGATGGGAAGACAGAAAGGTCTGAGTCAGGAAAGGAGAGAAGGAGGAAAGCCTGGATGGAGTGACTGACAAGGCAGAGACGAGGAAGCCCCTCCCCTCCAGTCCTTTCCCGTTCCCTCCCCTCGTCCCCTAGCTTGGCTCCCTGGATATGAACGCTCTTGAGAACAGGACACCAGTGTCTGGGTCAGGAGGAATGTCCAACAGATCAAGGAGCTAAGGAAATAGACTCCCCTCGGCTGGCTCTGCTCCCCTGATTTTGCCTGTGAGTGGGCTCTGCCTCCAAAGTCACATGCCTCTTCTATCTGGTTCCCAGTAAGTGGGAGGAGGAGGAGGAGGAGGAGGGGACTTGGGGAGACGCTGAAAATCCTGAAGGTTCCCTAGCTCTAAGTGTGGCCTGTTCTGAAGTCAGAGGTCAGCCAAGCGAGAAGAGAAGGCTGGGAAGGCAAAAAACCGGGGTGGACAAGGCCACCTGGAGAGTGCGGGAGGGCTCTGGCACCTGTGCAGGGATGCATGTTACAGTCTCTGGTCTGAGTGTGGGGTCCTGGGCACACAGGATTCCCAGGAGCCAAGCTGGAGCAGCTGCGCCCGCGAGTCTGGATGCCACCATTACAGGAGGCTGAGCAGGTGGTCCAGGAAGCCCACAGGCCCCAGGCACTTGGCACTGGCAGGAAGAACAGAGGCTGTGGTCATTGGTGGCAAGACATGGGCAGAGGGAGGGAGGGATTTAGGACGATCCCAAATAATGTCAAGCATGTGCTGGGTTTTTTTTTTTTAGGGAGACTTTTAGGGAGACTGGGGGTGGCTTAAGGACGCCGCCAGGTTGGCTCTTTCCCTCCTTCCTGGGGGTCGGCTCAGGTCAAGGGGTCATTATCTCCTATTCCTTTTCCCACTCAGGTTCTCAGGCACACCAGGAAGGTGGGGCTATACCTGGGCACACAGGGGGGCTGCAGGGCTCCTCCTGGGTGGCCTCTCCGGGGCAGAATGTGTCCCTGGAGCTGGGGCAGAGCCGAGAACGCTGCCGCCAGCCAGGGTCCCCCCCAGGGACAAGGCAGCTCTGGGAGCAGGAAGACCACGATGTCCAGGGTGTCCAACCTGGCATCTCTGGAAGGAAAAGCCTGTTGTATAGAGGCTCTGGCCAGGCTGGCAAAGGTCGGAGGGGGAGGGACAGGTCTGAAAAGCCGAGAGGCCATGAAGGGTAAGGGTTGCTCCTCTGGCTCACTCTGTTGTTAGGACCCTCTTCTGCGGCTGTTTCTCACCCTTACCTAAGGCAGAGCCCTCCATGGAACCTGGCCAAGCCCATGCGTCCCCGCGGTTCAGCCAACAGCCCACAAGATATTCCCTATCCGCACAGTCCCTCAGCCTCAGAGTTTCCTGTGATCTGCGACCCCCTGCCTGAGATCACCATTCACACTCCCCTGCCTCCAGGACCCCCTCCTCAACCCCCTCCTCTCATTGCCTGTCACCCATCCCTCCTCCAGCCTCACACACCAACAGGGATTAGCCTGCCCTGCAGTGACCTCCTCCTGGCTTGACACCGCATAGCCTGAGGCAAAGGGACAAATTGGAGCCTTTATCTTGTCTCTGGGTGTTTCTGTCCGCCCTGGTCACCTGAAGCACACAGCCAGGGCAGCAGCCTCTATCTTCTGGCCTCTGCAGACACCTGTCCCACCCTAGCCAGCCTGCCCAGGGACCCAGGATGTCTGCACGAGAGCCTGTCTCTCCCGGCGAAGCCCACTGACCTAATCTGGTTCCAGGACCATGATTGAATGGGTGGGCGTGACTCTCACCCTCTCACTTCCACTTTCTGGCTCTGCCTCGCCTCCCCACGGGGCCCACTGCAGTTTCTGTTGGCATCGGGGTCCAGGCAGGAAAGGGGACATGGGGACACCCAGCGTCCTCTGGCACAGCTTCATTCCCTACCCATCCCGGGTACCAGCCAGGACAGGGAATTGGGAAGAGGAAGGCAGTCTCCCGCCATACCGTACCTGTCCCACATTCTGTGTAGCAGGCCTGCCGTTCCTGCCCGTCACCTTCACACGGGGCACCTCCGAATGCCGCGGGAGGGTTGGAGGGGGACCTGAAGAGAGACTCGCATTCCTTGTCCTTCCGTCACCTGTCCACTGCCCTCCTCCCCCCCGCCAGGGTGACCCGTTCTCATCCCTTCTCCGCATCTCTTCCATTTTTGCCCCAGCTCCACACCTGAACCTGGCCCTCACTCCAGAGCCACAGGAGCGATCACAAGGTGTCCAGGGGGACCAGGCAGACCAGCCACAGGACTGGGAGCAGCCTCCTGGCTCACACAGCAGTGCCCCCTTCTCACAGGTACTGCAGAGGACAGAAGGGGCGGAGGACCCGTCAGCCCCAGCAGGCTCTGGCCAGTATCCGCCCTCCACGCGATGCCGCCCTTCTTCATCCAGACCCTCCTGTGACCCAGCTCCTTCTCTCACGCCAGTTCTGGCCCCTGACCTCGCACCACCCCTCGGCCCAGCGTGCTCACCATTGGCTGCAGTTGTCCAGCAAGAAGGCCAGCCCGGGCTGTCTCAGGTCTTGGCCCGCCAGGCAGGGGCATTCAGAGAGGGGCAGGCAGTGAGAGTCCTGGAGGAAAAGCCCAGGAGGGCAGCGGCATCCTGCGTGCGAGGAGAGGAAGTCACTTAGGGGCAGTGCTGGGTGGGCAACTCTCACTTGCACTTTCTGGCTCGGCCCCACCTTCCATACAACGCCCGCTGCAGCTTCTGTTGGCCTCGGGGTCCAGGCAGGAGGGTGGACATGGGGGTACCAGCCCCTTCCGGCACAGCTCAGCATTCACGTGAACACGGCCTGGCTCACAGTCTCGGGAGAGAAGAACACAAGTAGGGCGGGCGCCAGAGGCCCAGGGACAAACTCTGGGGCTCCACTGTTGGAGCCCCCCCCCAGCCAGCTCCCCTTTACCTGCGTCACCCGGGCAGAGCTGCAAGCCGCAGGGTGCCCTCTCATGGGAAGGCCCGGGGCAGGGAGCACCACCATTCTTGGGTGGGGGGTCCACACAGCTCCTCTGGCGACTCTGGTGGCCGCCTCCACAGGAGACACTGCAGGGCTCCCAGGGCCCCCACTCTGACCATGCACCAGCCACTGTGGAGGAAGAAGGGGGTCCACCAGAAAGACTCCAAGGAGACAGGCTGTGTAGAAAGGGGAAGGCCAAGCCAGGGAGCCTCTCCCAGCTCCTTGGGAGCCAGCGGTCTGGCAGGCAGGAGCAGCACCCTAGTGGTTCTACAACTCCCTTTATTCGGGAAAACTAACTGCCCATAGGTGAGTGAACCAGGGGAAGACACCCGGGGACTCCAAGGACGGAGTTCCAGCCCCTGGCAGGGTTACAATGGCAGAACCCTGAAGTGGGGCCCAACGGACAGCAGTGAGACAAGGACATGCCAAAGCCAGGGCTGGGAACCTGTAGGAGCTGTGGGGGAGGCTGGTGCGTGCGTGTGCATGTGTGTGAGTGTGTGCGTGTGTGCGTGTGTGAGTGTGTGTGTGTGTGTGAGCGTGTGTGTGTGTGTGTGTGTGTGTGTGTGTGCGCATGCGCGCGGTGCGTGTGTGAGTGGGTGTGCGGGTGTGCTGTGCGAGTGTGCATGCACGTGCATGGGGGGGGTACCCTCTCAGCAGCACGCAGTCTGGAAAGCCACTGTGTTGGAGTCACTGAACAAAAGGTCTACAAGGCCTTCAGGTATGGAGCCAGGGACAGTAAATGGTAGAGCCAGCTGCCCCTTAAAATACCCTCTTCTGTCGTCTCCTTCATCCTCACCACGGAGACATGGGTGGGAAGAGGTAGGAATGACTACTGCCAGTTTACAGCATGAGAACCCTGCGTAAAGGGATCCCCGAGCTACCTAGGTAGGCAAGGAGGGCCAGGGCCAGGAAGGTGAGTATCCTGTCTACTCTTTGAAGGCTCTGATGGCATGGATATCATTGTGCTGGAGTCCCAACAAGAATGGACGCAAGAGTTCCCAAGGAGAGCAGGGCATTTGGCGAGGGTCTCTGATGGGAGCCAACCCAGGTCTCCCACAGCAAGTGGTCAATCTCTACTTCTTTCTGGGGTGCTAGGCTACCTGGGCAGGCTTGCACGAAGCAGGGCTGGCTACGGAGCTGGTCCAACAGACAGCTGCCCCCAGGCAGGGGAGGTCTCAGCAGCTCCCGGCGCTGGAAGATGAGGCCCAGGCCACAGCTGTGGCTGCAGTGGCTCCAGCCAGACCACGGTGCCAACACACAGTCCACTGCGGGGGAAGTACATCAGAGCTTGGAAGGGGGCCCACGCAGGAACAGGACCCTCAGGACTGTGCTCCGGCCAGCACTTACCACAGCCGTCCTCATCAGAGCCGTCCTGGCAGTTCAGCTGAAGGTCACAGCGCTGCTCACGAGGGAGACACTCTCCACTGCCACAGCTCAGCTGACTTGGGGAGCAGAGGGCCACTGAGGCTGGCATCCCAGGGAGGGCAGTGGTAGGCACAGTGAAGGGACCAGCACTGGCTGCCAATCCATAATTTGAGGAGAGAGGAGGCAGCCACATAAATGATTTCTGGCTGGATGAGAAACTGAGTCCCTTGAACTTTAGGCCAAGATCAGGACAGTTTGCTGAGCAGAAGCTCTGGCCTTTCTGCCCTCCCAGTGCCCCTGGCAGCCTTCACCCAGGATGAGGCCCGCACAGAGCCTTTGTTCTACACTGTTCCCATAGTTCTCTACTTGTGAGTGTCCAGAGAGAGTCAGTACATGCAGAACAGTCCTTCCCCTTGGTTACCCTCTTTCTGAATGGGTTCTCCCTGGGGTCCCAGTTTCTGTGACTGGCTAACACTTTCTCTTCTCATTGGCAAACAAAGCTTTGATCAAAATGATCTACCACGGATGGATGGATGGACAGATGGGTAGAGACTATATGGATAGATGGATGGGTATGTGGCTACATGAATAGATGGACAGAGAGAAAGATGAGTGTGTGAATGGGATAGGTAAATAGATGAGTAAATAGGCAGACAGGTAGGTGGGTAGGTAAGTGGAAAGATAAATAAATGGATGGATGGATAGATGGATGGATGGGTGGATAGATAGATAGATAGATAGATAGATAGATAGATAGATAGATAGATAGATAGATAGATAGATAGTAAATGGATATGCAGGTATATGGATTGATAGATGGGTCAATAGACTAATGTATATACAAATTGAGAGAGTGATGGACAGATTGAGTAAATGATCAGATGCATGGGTATGTGGATGGAAAGATGGATGAAAAGATGGTGTACGTATGGATGGGTAGATTTAAGAGTAGGTGGGTGGGGGATAGAGAGATGCCTTAGTGGTTAAGAGCACTGGTTGGAGCACCAGAGGACCCAGGTTTGATTCCCAGCACCCACATGGTAGTTTACAACCGTCTCTAATTCCAATTTGAAGACATCCAATGTCCTCAATAGTCTCTGTGAGCACACTCATGTGGCATACATTCATGCACACATATATAAATAAAAACAATAAAAATAAATATTCTTAAAAAGAGCAGGTAGATGACAGATACATAAAGAGGTGAATGGATCATTGGATATGTGGTTGGATGGATGAGTGGATGTATCAATAGAGAAGTGGGCAGATGGATTGGTGGATAGATGAGTAACCTCAACAGCCAGATAGGTTTAATAAAACAGGCTGGGACCCAATGTCTATCCCATTCTCTCCTTCAAAGACACTGGAGCTTCCAGTGGCTTTTACAATTCCTCTCTGTTCTCTGCCATCCCAGCCCCTCCCATGTCCCTACCATATGAGCTATCCAGCCCTGCAACCATCTTGCCATCTCCAGATGCTGCAATCCCCCGCTCACCGCAGTGCTGCTCATCGGAGCCATCAAGACAGTCCTCCCTTCCATCACACAGCTGCTTCTGCTCCACACAGCCCAGCACATCACAGGGCATCTGCCCAGGGCCACACCATGTGGGTGGGAAGGGTCTGGGGGCGACACTTTGGCCTGCAGGCAGGACACCACCACAGCCAGCTGACTTGGGAACCAGTCACCCTTACCCTTCTTTCTTGGTCACTTAGACCCCAGCTTCCCTCTACTTAGCAGCTAGGATACCCCACTTTCTGCCTCTCTTGAGGTAATGAAAAAGGAGTGAGTTGGGTTAGGAAGCTTGGTGCCTAGGCCGACTCTACCAAAAATGACATGGAACCATGTGACCTAGATCCAAGCAATGAGCCTCCTGTGGCTGCTGCTCCTCACGGAGAAGCTGGGCTCACAGAGGCCTTTCAGGCAGAAGAGTCTTACCAGTAGGAGCCGCAGGAGTGATGGAGTCGGGGGGAAGCACCGTCACAGCTGCCATTCCTGGGTGCAGGCTCTTGGCGCCAGGAGGGAATGTGGAGATGGTGGTCAGCGGCTGCATGGGCTGCCCTGAAGCAGGCAGAGGAGTCTCGGGAGTGCGAATGGGACCTGCTGTCTTCCCTGAGGACGGAGCAGGGAGTGAGAGGACACTGGCTAAGCTCACTGGCCTGTGAGAGGTGGTGAGACAGACCCTGAAGAGGACATCCCCGGGTCCCATGTGGTACAGGATAACCATAGACAGCCATCATAGACAACATCCCACCTCGGAAGGACCCTCAGATTTAAAGAAAAAACGACTGGTCTCTAACCCCCAAGGAGCACGAGAAGAGGGTTAAGAGAAAGGAGACAAAATCTGGTTTGATCTAATGCTGTTCTCTAGTTGCAAGAAGACATAGCAACTTTCTCACACAAGGTCACTGTAAAACAAGGTGTTTAGAGGCGAGAACTGGAGTCGTTTAAACGTAACAGCAGAAGGAGCAAGCGTGGCTGAGACTCGGGATGAGGACATTGCTACCGATGTGACAGAACACTGATTTCTGAGCTTCTTGACAGCTGTTGTGAAAAGGAGAACCAGACACGCACTTTCTGCCAAAACAGTCATCTTCAAAGACAGCTGTTTTTGGAACCAGATTTAGAATAGGACTAGGATTCATCCCATGAGCCCACGTGTTGCAGATGTGCTTTTTTTTACAAAAGACACAAAGACACGGTTCAGCCAGACTGCTGAACGGCTTCCACTTTCACAGAGAACAGCCTCCTTCCTATGTTCATAGGTGAGGAACCGAAGGCAGGCTGGCGTGGTGTGTCCAATATCTCCCAGGTTAGAGTCAGTACAGGTCTGCTGCTCCAATGCACCACGCCCATCCCACCCTACACTGAGACAGCTCTCTTGGGGACCATGGCATAGGTGGCTGATCTTGGAGAAGCTGGTACATGCCTGTTGGGGAGTCCCTTTTCCTGCTTAGGAGCATCCTAAGCTGGGCACCCTGCCCACTTTCATGTCCACTTAGGGAACCTGCTGCCAACAACACTTTAGAAAAATGCCTAGCCTCATATCTAGGTGAGCAGAGAGACAAAGATGGGACCAGGTGGTTTCTCAACTCCCTCAAGAGGACTTGTCCAGGGTCTGGGGGCTGCAGCCACCTTGCAGGACAACTGCATGGCCCTAGGAGCTGTCTTTGTCCCCTTGGACCTCATATCCTGAGTCTAGTGGGCTGAGAAGGTTGGGACCTGGCCATGCACCTGGTGACCAGCATCTCTTGACTCCATAGGAAGTCAGAGGACAGGGGGTTTCAGCCTCTGGGATGCCACTGCCCTTTGCTGTAGAAGGACAGGTAATGGCAAGGGCAGGGATTTGGGGAAGGGGATTGGAGTCTGTGCACACACCTCCAGTAGGCATGGATGATTCCTGCTTGGGCTGCTGGTTCTCCATGTCTGCCAGACCCTACAGAGGGAGAGCACTCAGTGACCCTGCTCAGGCCTCCAGGGCAGCTACACACGATCCATCCCCTTTCCAGCAAGCCACAGCTGCCCCCTTCCCACCTCTGTATGTTTACAGAAACCTAGAGCTGAGGACAGAGGTGTCTCTCCTGAAAGGTAAGTAGGCTAGATACCGCAAGGAACTGGCCCACAGAACACATGACCAAGCTAACCTCCACTGCAAGGTGGATAAGCTGGGCATACTCGGGCACTGGCCCATACCCTCACTGGCCCACCTGGGCAACCACTTCAGCTCTTTTCCCCAAAGTCTGAGGCCTCCTCAATACCCTGAGCAGGTCGCTTGTCAATGGGAAGTGTCTTGTCCCTTCTTACATCACAGATATCCCCATCCTTCAAGCTCTGTCCCAGATGCCTTTGGGGACCCCAGGCATAGATTCCCAAAGCAAGTACTCTGGTGCCTCCTCACCCATGGCACAGAGCTCTTGCCACCCAGACTGTACGTCAGTGCCCTGCCCTGTCCATCTCTGCACCACTCGGTCCCTCTAGCACTGGGCACCTACCTAGCACCAAGTTGGATCTCACATCACTCAGAAATGAAGGCAGAGTAGCATCAGGAAACAGAGTTGGAGGGAAAGCCACTGAATGTGTGAAGGAGGACAATAGAGATGCAGACCATGCATCGTGGAGGCAGTGAAGCCCAGATTCTCACTCACCTCCCTGGGCTGGGCTGGAAACTTTCCAGGCTGGGTGGAGGAGGGGACTGGAGTCCTGACTGTGGAATGGACCCTGAGAAGAAAAACCACCAGGAGGGCTCCAGGGCATCTCCCAGCCCTGGAGCCCAACCACCCTGAAGAGATCAGGTCAGGGCATTCAGGAGGGGCACTGCCCGCTAAGGCTGGACAAAGGTGAGCTCTAATAGCTTGATCTCAGCTTGATCACATCATGATCCTGGAGGGCAGGTAAAGCTCTCCCGTTGCCCACCCTACAGGACCAGGTAGAAACTGAGAGTCTCCCAACTATCATGCGGGGTGGTGGTGGTCCTCTTAGTCCAGGGGCCACCCTTTGAGAGTCACTAACCTCCAGGTATCAGGAGAATCACAGAACCCAAGACTCCCAGGGCAGTAAGGGCTATGGAGCACCCATCTGTGACTCCTCAGCATGCAAGGTTTATGAAGGCAAGGCAGGACTCCGCCCATCCAGGTTCCACCCAGAGCCAGGCCATACCTGCTGGTGGTGCCTGCAGGAAGGGGCCCACAGCCCTCCTCATCAGAGCTCTCCTTGCAGTCCACAGCACCATCACACGACCCTCCTTTTGGGACACATTCACCACTGGCACAGCGGTGCCTGGTCCCTGGACATGGGGGTGCCAGTGGGGACACTGTGGAGGACATGTTACTAAGGACTCCTGACGTCACACTGCCCACTCTTGTCCCTCCGGCTCCCAAGCTGGCCTGTACCTGGCTTACAGCCCAGCAGCTCCACCCACAGGAAGATACCGCGCTGAATGTTGTTGCGGTGGCCATCGTGTGGCCACACCCTGACGTATCGCGCCTGTACCATCTGGTCGAAGGTCCATACCTCAGGGGCCGTATGGCTCGGGCTCCCGGAGGAAAGCTGTGGGAGACATTATCTGTTGCCCAAGTCCCACCTCTTGCTCAAGCTGCCACTGTAACCCTGTTTTGGTGTTCCTCCTGCTTCCCCCAGCCCCCATAATGTGGACGCTGCTCCCGCATAGAGATGGTGCTCTTTGAGAAGGTAAGCGTGAACGCCTATGTGAACTGAGTCCTATGGCTGTAAGGGTCTGTCTCCTTGGACAGGCTGCCAACCCCTAAAGGAATGTGCTGTGCCCAGGGTGCTCCGTAGAGACCTGCACTTCTGAGGGCCTCTGTGAACTGGGTGTGTTACCATCCCGCTCCTTCACAAGCTGTTAGGAGGTCATATGTGCAGATTCCTAAGCCACTTCCATGGTTTCGAGTGTCCCTGGACTCGCAGCTCCACGGAGCACAGTCCCTGCTAGTTAGCAGGTGTCCCACAGATGTCTAATGCAAGGGCTGTCCCTCAGGGGGATGAAAGTCCCTTGGGGACAATGGCTGTGGTATCTTCAAATGGGTTTCTTGGGCCACCTGCCCCAGGGGACTGGAGTGCTCAGTACCGTGGGCAGGGGCAGGGAGTTGACAGAGTCATGCCACTGTAGACCATCGCTGCTGAACTGGAGCGACAAGCGGGTGACATAAGCAGCGGAAGAGCCAACCCCCTGCACCATGATCCCTGAGGAGGGAGCAGGGCAAGGCAAAGGTCAGAGCTGCGGCAGCCACCTCATCTCCCATCCCTTGTCCCGTGCCCTCCTCCTCACTGACCAGTTAGGTTCCGAGGCTGCAGCAGGTCCAGCTGCAGGTAGAGTGGCTGGGAGTGCCACTCAGCATGAGCACCCTCTCCAGGGCCAGGCCCTATGGTGGGAGCCTCCGTGGCAGCCCGGGTGGGCTGTTCCATGTGCTGGGATGATGCCCACATGGGCAGTTGGGCCAGGCCCAGGGGAGAATAGCAGGCATCTGGGTTCAGGAGAGAGAGGTGGCTGGTGCAGGGCAGAACAGAGGGTGCCAGGGGCAATTAGGGGGCAACAAGGGGAGCTGGGGGTATGGAAGACGGGAAAATGCAGCAACTTGGGATGGGTGACTTCACCACCTGCAGTGTGTAGGGCTGGGAACTGCACCCCAGGTCTTGTTTCCCCAGCGGTCTGGGAAGTGCTAGGGCAGTCCCTTTTGGCATCCAAACCCCACGCAACTTACCCCCCAGAGGAGGCAGAACATAGGTGAGCAGGGGCGCTCCCATGGGAGGGCTGGAGGTGGGGGCAGGAGTGGTCATGGGGACCACTGTCTGGTTCTTGCCTGTGCAGAGACCCAGTGGTCAGGAGAGAGAGTGGGAGAGGCCGCCACCAGCCACCAACCCAGCACGCAGGCCCCTCCACACTTCCTGGAACACGTTCCTTCCCATGACTTCTCAAGAATAAACTCCAGCTGGGAAGGTCCCTCTTTCCCTTTGAGTGAACTGGGGCTTTTCACCTCCACTGACTATTTAGAAAAGAGAATAAGGGGCTGGAGAAATGGCTCAGAGGTTAAGAGCACTGACTGCTCTTCCAAGGGTCCTGAGTTCAATTCCCAACAACCACATGGTGGCTCACAACCATCTGTAATGAGATGTGGTGCCCTCTTCTGGCCTGCAGGGATATAAGCAGGCAGAACACTGTATACATAATAAATACATCTTAAAAAAAAAAAAAAAGAAAAGAAAAGAAAGAAAGAAAAGAAAAGAGAATAAAACCCCCAGGTCCAAATAGATGAGGTTATAACAGGCGCAGTCTCTAACCTCTGTAGGCATTAGAAGCAGCCTAAATTAGAACAGCCTAAATAACTGTACATGTTGGGTGAGCTCTAACTTCACCAATTTATAGGTACACTTTTAGGATGAGGAAGCTGAACCATTGCTTCCTGTCATAGTCTGCACTGGGTTCTCCTCCTCTTGAGGCTCTGCCGCCCCTCAGACCCACTCACCAGGCAGTGTACAGTGGCAACACGATTCTCCCATCCCCTCCACCAGGACCCAGCCCTGTGGGAACACAGAGGTCAAGCCACTTGCCCATCTCTAACCCATCAGCTTCCCCCAGGCCTGGCTGGTCTAGATCACCTTTCCAGGCTCAGCCCTCTCCACATTTCCAGACCCCTCACCTGGGGGCAGCTGCCCAGCGGGCAATAGGGGGAGCAGCGTGTGATACCCCTGTGCAGACACTCGCACACCATGCAGGGGCCTCCACGCCAGCGTTCCCCAACATGGTGCATGAGGCCCCACTGCTCACAGCCCTCACAAGGCTCTGTCTGGCACCTGGAAAGGATGGCATGGTTACAGCCTCCTGGAGGAGGGGGCCCACTCAAAGCCATCCCCAACGTGCCGGGCTAAGGGCATTCTTAGACTTGAGACTGCCGATAAGAAAACTGGGAAAGTCCTGTGGAAATGTCTGGTCACGCCGTAATCCCAGTCTACACTGGCTCCTGTGAGAACAGCCACAACAGGCACACAGGAATGGGAAAGGAAGCGATCAGTGCCAACACTGCAGGTTAACACAGCCGGCCCCAGAAGGGATGGAATAACTATGTCCCTTTACAAGCCTCACCAGAGGCAAACCCCCTCCACCCCGGCAGAGACAGAGACCCATTCTTGCCACTGGAATGGTCAAGCTCTATCTGTAGGTCCTGTCTGCTGGCTCTTGGATCTAGCAGGTATAAAACAGAAGTAGGAAAAGACAGCTGAGGTGTCAATTGGGCATCACAGAACAGCTTGCTAGTGGGGTCTCTGTCAGATGTGAAATGCCTGCCTCAGAGTTGACCTCCTAAGCAGAGGTAGAGGGTAGACCGGGTCCCTATCCTGTACCTGCGGGCCTTGCGGTGGATGCCACGGCACTGGCGACCCCGACCCGAGAGGCGCGGGTTGTTGGGGCTCCGGAAAGACCACTGGAGGCTCTGGCTGCTGCAGGGCCCCAGGCACTCCGCCCAGGGGGACCAGGAGGACCAGCCACAATCCACTGAGAGAAGACAGGAGTCAAGGTTGGGTGGTCTGGGGAGGGACAAGGCCCTCCAGGGATGGGCCTGGGCAGAGGCTTACCAGAACATTCTGGATTGGGCTGGCAGCGATGTGGTCGCCCATCCTGGCAGAAGCAGAGCTGGCAGTCCATTTTGATGCGTTGCCCAGGCCAGTAACGGATACCATCCACTAGGCAGGGGCACTGCCTGGGCTTCACACATTGCCCCTCGGTGCCCAGCACCTGCCCTTCTGGGCACCAGCAACCTAGGTAAAGCCCAACATTAGGTATCATGCAAAACAAGGCCTCCACAGACCCGGTCCAGTAACCCCTCACCTGGGCTGCTGCAGGGCCTATCAGGCGAGCACGTGGTCTGACCAGAAACATCATCACATGTCAGAGGGCAGGGGGCACAGGGCTGGAACACCAGCTCCCCGAAGCAAGTGGCATTGGGGCAGCCCTCCTGCGGGCAGGGATCTGAAAGCAGGCAAGGACAGGGTCAGAGCTTATTGAGAGGCATCTGCAGCAGAGACCAGTGTCTACCACCGTCCGTCACAGTCCTCAGTGTCTCAACTGGTGACTCCTATGCCCACAGTACCCCCCAGCAACCCTCTACTCCTGCTGTGTTCTCCCAATCCCCCGGTACCCAAACAGAGGACCTCCTCCCCGAGGGCCCCCCCAGTACCCCATCACCAGCCTCCTCACGCCCTTACTTGTGCCCTCTTCCCCTTTACTCACGGGCCTGGTGGGCACTATGGGGGCTCCCAGGCAGCAGGGCGCAGTCCCGGCCCCCGTTCCGGGGTGGATGGCACTGCCGATGGCGTGTCATGGTGCCCCCACAGGGTTCAGAACACGGAGACCAGGGAGACCAAGAACTCCACTCGCCATCCACTGCAAGGGAGGGCCAGGATGGTGTGTGTGTGTTGGGGAGGAGAGGGTTTTGGGGCAGAGCTAGGGACCAACAGCCTCTATTTTCCCCTCGGTCTCCAGGACCTGCTGTCCCCTTCCCCTCCCGCTCCCCCTCCCAGATGTCCCTTCCCTCACCCGGGCAGGCCTCTGTGAAGCAGGCCTGTGACTGGTGCTGCGGGCCTGGGCAGTTCTGTAGCACCGGGAGACTGGATGGGGAGCAGTGTCGACTCCGAGCCTGTGTGCCAGGCCCGCAGGTCTGACTGCACGGCTCCCATGGGCCCCAGGAGCTCCAGGCCCCACAACCCTGCTCTTCCAGGGAGGGCTCTGCTTCATTTGCCAACTCACAGTCTGGGTTCCCATCACAGACCTGGGGAAGCAACAGGCTCAGGCTTCTGGCTAGGTGTACAGAATCTGAGCCTGCCTATCCCTGCTTGAGGGAAATCAACTCACCAGCAGGAAATCAATGCAGGTGCCATTCGGGCAGGAGAATTCTGGGCAGGGACCCCCTGTCCTGTTGGGGCCTCCTGGGACTGACAGCCCCTCTGGGGGAAGAAAGAGCAGTTAGCTAGGAATGAAAATCATCTCCTAGACTACAGGACTGTCCCCAGCAAGAAAACAGTATCCACACCACAGTCCATCTTATCCCCGCCCTGTAGACAGTTAGGGATGCCGTCACAGAGCTGCGTGGGGTCCAGGCACAGCCACAGAGCTAAACCAGAGGATAAGAGGCCATGGTATGGGGGCAGCTGGGTGGAACCTGTGGATAAGAAGTGATCTACCATACTGCTGTCCCCCATCCCCATCCTATCCCTGCACAGAGACCAGCAGGGAAAGCCAGGGCATTAGAAGAGGACATGGTGGGAGGCAGAGTCCTGTCCTGGATCAGAGGAACCTTTAGAAGGGGCTGAAGAATGGTCCTGGAGAAAAGTAAGGGCCTGTGGACAGCCTGACACCCTCTCTGGTGAGGTATCCAGGGCGTGGAGGGCTGATTTGTAAGGACACAACGAGTTCCACTCAGGTGAGGTGGGGAGGAGCTGTGGATAGGGAGCCTCCAAACAGACCTACCCCCCCATGCCCTTGGCCATCACCCACTCTTGTTTCTTCTTCCCCAAATGTGAGCAGACAAAAGACCCCTTTCTCCTCTCCCACGGGCCTACAGGGAAAAGCAAAAACCTCAATGGAAGGTTTCAAGGTAAAGATCAAAGAAACGGAGACGATCACGCAGCCCCTCTCCAGCTGTGCACCAATCTGCCACAGCCAGGGGCAAGGGTGGCACTGGGAAGCTCCAGGCCCCGGTCTACGAGGCCACCCGCAGAAGGGAGATGTAGAGAGCGAGGCGTGTGACTCTCACCGCAGGCATCGGGATCCTCATCTGAACCATCCGGGCACTGGGGCACACCATCGCATAGCTGTCCCGGGAACACACAGTGCGGGCTGTGGGCACAGGGCACCTGGTGCAGCATGCAGGGCCCACCACAGCCAAGCTCGTCACTTCCATCTGTGCAGTCGTCCTCCTGGTCACAGCGCCAGCCCTGAGGAGTGCATTCTCCACTGCTGCACTGGAACTCGAGGAGGCCGCAGGGGGGCACTGCAGGGGTGTGTGTGGGTTAGACCAGCAGGAGTGGACTCCGGGCTCTCCAGGTCCAGCTCACCCTCACGTCTCCTCTGGGGATGCCCTTGAATGTCAGCATCCCTGACTCTTACCTGAGTATACCCCTTCCCAGTCTAGTCCCCCCCCACCCCCGCGTTTGACTGCTGTTTTGTTTTCTGCAGGCCTCCCCTTGTCCCTAAATGTCCACTTGGCTCTCCTTCACTGTTCAGAGGGAGGCTCTGAATACCAGGAGATAAATCTGGACCTCCCATCCCTCCCAAACACTGAACACATCATTCCAGAGCCTCCAGCCCTAGAGTTTGGCCCCAATGCTTCCCTCTGGGATACTCACCCATCCCCTTCCTGGGCAGCTCAGGCTTCAAGCTTGCTCACCCTATCTATTCCCAGAGACTCACCAGGGCTGGCACTGCCCATAGGGCTTGATGCTGTAACCAGAGAGCTGGTAGAAGGGCTCTGCCAGGTGTTGGCAGGGGGTGTAGGCAGAGAAGGCAGAGGGCAGTGGCCAGGCCCTTCGTCAGCTCCATCTGGGCAGTCCCAAACTCCATCACACAGCCGCATGGTCCCAATGCAAGTGCCGTCATCACAAGATACCTCTCCAGATGTGCAGCTCACCTGTCCTGAAGCCAGAGGAGAGGAGGTGATCCTGGGACTTAGCCTCTTCTAAGACTTGTAAAAATGTACGTGTCTATGTGTCTGTAAATGTAAGCCACATGTGTGCAGGTGCCTGTGGGGCCCAGAAGAGGATGTCAGAACCCCTGGAGCTGGAGTTACAGGTGGTTGTGAGTGGCCATGTGGGTGCTGGAAACTGATTTCAGATCTTCCGGGAGAGCAACAAATAACCTTAACCACTGAGCGACCCAGCCCCTAGGACTGACACTTCTTCAGTCTCTTTGGGATATCTCCATTTGGTCACCAACAGGTACCACCTTCACGAGCGGAGACTTGGCATAGAAGGGGATGAATACACAGGGGCCTTCCAGGATCTGGACCCTGAGGCGGGGGTGCCTAGTGGGCAAAGACTCCTCACCCAGACAGGACTCTTCGTCCGCAGCATCCAGACAATCAGGATGACCATTACACAGCAGGGCGGGGGGCAGGCAGCGACCGTCAGCACAGGCCAGCGAGCCATGGGGACACGGGCACCCCTGCTCGTCGGTGCCATCTCCACAGTCATCCTGCCCATCACAGAGCAGAGCCAGGGGCAGGCAGTGGCCAGATTGGCAAGACATCTGCCCCTCCCCACAGCCTGAGGTGGCACAGCCTAGCACAGGGAAAGCAGGCAGGTTCAGGGTACAGTGTTGCCAAAGATCCTGGCCTAAGGAGGATCAGAACACACACACACACACACACACACACACACACCGTCCCTCAGTCCTCACCCATCACCTAAGTCATAGCTCCTGGCAGGGGAAGCAGCACTGAAGGAGCCACCCTGGGGGCAGATGCTGCAGCTTCAGTAAAACCCAGTTATCTGTCCCAGTGAGGGCCACACAGGTGAAAACACTCACCCTCCTCATCTGAGCCATCGCCACAGTCATCCTGGTTGTCACAAAGCCACTCAAGTGGCACACAGTGCCCACTCTCTCTGCACGGAGCCTCTCCTTCTGCACAGCCAGGTTCCATCTCCTCACAGGGGACACCATCACCTCCACAATGCCACTGACTTTCCTGACAGGTGCTAAGCACAATGGAGGCCTGGCATGAGCCACACGTCAGCTTGTTCGGCCCAAGGGCACAGGTGGGTTTCCCACTCACCAGTTTCCACAGTCTTTTTGCAAAACAGTCCCTGGTGGGAAGAAACTGCCACCCCACTCACAGGGACAGGCAGCCGGCTGCACACAGGCTCCTCCTGAGAGCACAGAGCATGGGATTCAGAACCAAGGATGCCCAGCCCACACTTGTGGCCACTGCCCAGCCTTAGTGTCCTCTCCCCAGGAACACACCATGCAGCAGTGTCCCCTCGGGGCAGAAGCAGCCCTCCACACAGCTGATGGTCTGGCAGTGCCATCCGGTCTCGGGATGACGATCATGGCAGGTGGGGGGACAGGCGGAGCCGCAGGCTTCATATACCTGACCTCCTTCACACTGTAGGGCTGGGTGGGGAGAAGAGAGGCCCTGCTCACTGAGGTCCAGGGGCACCAGGAAGCAATGGCACAGACAAGCCAGCTTCAGCTGACACCCAAGGAAAGCACGGGATGCACACCGTAGATCTTTGCCAAGATGTACCCCTGCCGCCCCCCCCCAAAAAAAAGATGAAGGATGCTAGCCCTGCGCATCAGTCGTTCTCATGTTTGGTCCATTAAGAAAAGTATCTAGCAACAGAGTGAGCATTCAGCTCACCTTTGAACCTACGTGATTAAGTGGCTAGCTGGTGGTGGGACAGGAGAAGCCCCTCAGGACTGAGAGAGTAGGGGCACACTCACGGCAGAGTTCCTGGCTGCGCCAACGCACATGGTGTCTGTGCCGGGCACACTCGTCAGCGTAAGCGGCAATGGCTGAGCAGAGGCACTCACAGTCTCCCCCGGTGTCGCAGCTGTGGGGTGGAGCCATCATCCTGTCATACGCCCCACTCCCTACACACACCTCCGCGTGCCCACTGCACCCAGCCCTCAGCCCTCCTTACCCGCAGGCATCGTACACACACCACTCATAGTGCTGCTGCGGGGGCACCTCTGTGTGGCACGGGGCAAAGATGGACTGCAATATCACCCCACAGCGGGCCTGGGCCCAGTTCACCCGGTGGGTGTTCACCTGCAACACAGGGTGCGTCTGTGAGCCCCCTCCCCCTCTCTCCCAGCTATGACACCCCTACCTCCCTCTGGCTGCCCTGCCCTGCTCACTGCACAGGGGTGTGGCAGGTCTCCCGGCTCCGGGCACAGGGGATTGAGACGCCAGGAATGGGCGGCAAGCTCTGCGGTGGGCTCCAGGACTCCTTGGCGGCTCCGCAGGTCATTACTGGCATCACCATCAAAGTCTCCACACAGCCCAGCCACATGACCTTGGAAGTGGGGGGATAGCTGTACCAGCACCCGGGTGCCTGGTGGCATTATAAAAAGTGACCCTCAGCGGGGCTGGGGCAGAAAGACACATGGGTATAACAGCCTCCTTGCACAGGTGCCCCCACCCGACAGGGGGTGCTGCTTCCCTCTTCTGCGGATAACTGAAAAGATCAACACCTGGGAGTCAACTAGGAACCTTAGCTCCCTAACTAATACTAATACTAACTAATACTAGCAAAACCCCCCAGCCAGGCCAGATTCGGGCAGCTTCAGACTGGGCTGAGAAGCTCCAGGCTAGCCCAGAAGCTCCAGGCTAGCCCAGCTGAGAGGACCAAGTCCACAGGGGATTCTTTTGGTTTCCTTCAATGCCTCACTAACAGTTATATTTCTAAAACACCAACTGCTTATGTTTGGGTAGTGAGATGTCAGCCAGTCTATTTTCATTTCTTCCTAAAACTCGGTGTTTTATAAATGTTTCTTCGGTGGGGCTGTCATGTTCGTAAAATGAAGAAAAACACAGTTATGAAAATATAATATGGGAACTGGAGAGATGGGTCAGTAGTTAAGAGCATTGGCTGCTCTTCCAGAGGACCCGGGTTCAATTCCAAGTATCCACACGGCAATTCACAGCTGTCTGTAACTCCAGTTCCAGGGGATCCAGTGCCCTCACACAGACATTCACACAGGCAAAACATGAATGCACATAAAATAAAAATAGTGTTTGTTTTTTTTTTTTAAAGAAAATATAATATGGAAACTCCAACCACTTCCAAGGGCTGTGAGTCAGGGGTGGCCACTGGGCAGAGGGTAGGACACAGGAAAGATCTTGGCCTGGCTGTCATACTGGAAATCTGCCCCAAGTGGGCAGTCAGGGGTCAGTCTCAACCTCAGAGCTTGGCAGGCACTGGGAAGAAGGGTTTGGGGAAACCAGCCCCCATTGTGGAGGCCTGGTGTGGGCCAAGGCCAAGAGGGCTAGCCTGGGGAAACCAGCCCCCATTGTGGAGGCCTGGTGTGGTTAAGGCCAAGAGGGCGAGCCTGACCTCCATCCCAGAGCAGAGTGAGGCCCAGACGCGTGGTTAACAGCAGGAAGAGGCCGGCACGGTGCAGGCTCAGTCCAGGGCCTGCATAAACCTTGGGGAGCTTTATGCTCACTCCATTCACTGTTACTGCCCTGCCTGGAGAAGAAAGGGTGTTAAATGTAGCCTGGACACCAAGAGGTCCTCCCAGCCACTCCTCCAAACTTTCTTTTGCTTATTTCTCTAGGTGACCTTGGGTGGGTCCCAAGACTTCTTTGGGCCTTGATTTTCCCGAGTTCTGGCTCCAACAAACCCCACCCTAAGAACAACCAAACCCAAGGAGGAGTAGAGAGGGAACCTGGGCCCTGGCCATGCTGAGGAGCTGCGACACTACAGTGTGATACCCCCTACCCTCCGGCAATAGGCCAGCCATCCCTGATAGAACCACAGCCACCTCTGAGCATGTGCACAACGGTGCTGTCCAGACGCACGGCCAGTGCCTTGGTACAAGTGAGGCCACTGGTCCCACAAGGCAGGTTCTGGATGGAGACACTGAAGCGGCCACTAGCCTCTCTCACGAGCAGGTACTCGCAGGCCCCAGGAAAGGTAAGGACCAGCCCATCGAAAGTCACGTAGTGGGGAGCACCAGACGCCTGGCACCATCCACTGCACCGCTGACCTGTGCAGTGCCACCGCTGGCCCTGGCACACACTGTGGGCAAGAGACAGGACAGGGCCATTAACAACAGTGACAGCCCAGACAGACCCCGAGTGTGACGAATTCTAGAAGGTTCCCAGTGTTCAGACCACTCTAAATACCCCGTCCCATCCACGACTCCAAACCGTTTTAGTGAAAAGAGGCACGATGGCTGGGGAGTCAAGGGTCACAAGGTCACATGGCAGCAGGTGACAGGGACTGTGCATACCAAATGTTGCAATCTTCCTGGATGGTGGCGTTGGGTGGGTACCACTGCCCATTGTGACGACAGGGACACAGATCGGGAGTCACGCAGCGCTTGTCCTGGGTGGAGGGCGAAAACACTGTTTCGGACAGCTAGGGAGCAGGGCAGGACCCTTGTATAGGGAGAGCACCTTGGTGCCCCATGGGTCTCCTTCCCAGTCTCACCAGCAGCACGGTACCAGGGGGACAGACACAGCCATCAGTGCTTCCAGCCAGGCAGGAATGGTTGGCGCTGGGGCTGTCACAGGTGAGAAGGCAGGCACCAGGGGCATAGATGAGCTCCTGAGGGCAGAGTGCCCGCTGTGGGGGGCAGTGGGGGGCTGTGCAGTTCCAGAGGCCCCTCTCCTGGCAGACGCTGCAGAGGAGGGAAGATGGAAGGGCCAGGCCCAGCATGTGCTCATCTGGCTATCCTAGGCTCTAGGCTGCCACAGTGAATCTCAGGAACCTAGACCCCTGCAGGCATCTGGATCCCCTAATGCCTGGTAGGAACCCAGCCCCAAATTCTAGAGACCAGAGCAACTTCCAACACCCTAGCCTCCAGCACAGGAAGACAGGCTGTTCAGGAAGCCCACATGCCTGGGATCCAGTCTGCTTCTGTCTGGCTCTCATGGGGCTGGTCTTGGAACTCCTGAATGGGGCAGAGATACTGACTTGTCTAATGTGATGACTAATCCTGACTGTCAATTTGATGAGATTGAGAATCACCCGGAGACAACCCCTGGGCCTGTCCATGAAGGATTTTCTAGATCGGGTTCATTGAAGAGTGAAGACCCACCCTGACTGGGCAGCACCATTCCACAGGCTGAGGCTCTGGGCTAAATAAAAAGGAGAAAGCGAGCCAAGCACCAGCACCCATCTCTCTCCCTGCTTCCTGACTAAGGATGCAATGTGACCAGTTACCCCCTGCCGCCATGACTTCCCCACCATGTGGGACTGTATTTCTTTGCACAGTGAGCCGAGATAATCACGTGCCCCCTTAAGCTGCTTTTTGTCTGGTGTTTGGCCACAGAAACAAGGAAAGTAATTAAGACATTTACCACTTGTCCAAGCAGCAGAGGAGATCCATGGAAATGCCCTGGAGCCTACCTCTGCATCCTCAGGTATAGACCTGATCTTTTCTCTATGGTATAGACCTCATCTTTCCTCTATGGTATAGACCTCATCTTTCCTCTATGGTATAGA